AAAATTAAGATTTGATTATTAACTGATATTTTTTCGATTTCACAAGGTTTATTCGCATTCTAAAAGTAATTTATAGACTTTAGAAGTAATTATTCTCTTCGATTATTCATAATTTTTTAAGCGAAAGGAAATTATTGCACGCAACAATGCACAAAGCAAAATTTTTAATCATACAAAAAGCTTTGAAATAATTTATGGAATATTCTACGAAATTTCTATTGTTCGAAGTGAAATTTTCAATAAAATTAGCAGAGATTTTTAATTTTGCTAATTTTTTTACAATAAATATTATTCATTCACTTTTGTATTTTTTCTCGTAACAGAAATTAAAATTTGATGCAAAAGTCTTATTTTATATTACAAAAAGAAAATAAAAATAATAAAAAAAAATCGCTTTTAAATTAGTTCATCAAATTATAGTAAAATTTATACTATTTTACTTTCAAAAGAAATCATCAATTTTTATTTAATTCAATTTTGATCTGAAATAAAACAGTTCAACTGCTCAGTTTCAGATCAAAATTGCTATCTCAAATCTTTATAACAAAAAAACTAAAGAATAATTCAATTATAAACTATTTTAAAACAATTTTGGCTCATTAACTAAAAGTATTTCGAATTAATTATTGAAAAAAGTGACAGACAGAATTATTTCATTTTTTCAGGAAAGTCTGTGTTCACTGCAAGTGTGATCGAACAGATCACGCCACTGCTTTACGTAATCAAAGTACATCCGTTTATAAACGTATCGGAATCACGCCACCACGTATGTAAACTTATAAATTTTGCTTACTTTTCATAGATATTGTTAATCAAAGATCAACTGTTATTTTTTTTAAACTTTCTTGTTTCTTTGTGACAAAATAGTAAATAACTTCCTCTTCTTTCGATATATTCTGAAACGCATAATTAAACTTAAGTGAAATTAAGTCTGTCTGTTTATAAAAATATTTAAAGTTAGTATTAGATCATAAACTTCCAATTTTATAACAAATTTTTATAATAAAAAAGTTACCTTTAAGAAAGCATTTAAAAATTTAAAAACTTTAAAACTTTTTATTTTAAATAATCGCACTGAGAAATATATTCGATAAAACTTTGATAAATTGAATTTGCCAGAGTTCAAACTATTCCCCAACAATTTCAAATTATTTTTCAATTTTATTCTGTGACTTTAATAGCATTATTTTATGATTAATAAATAACTTTAGTAGTAATACTGTATGATAATTTTTAATCTATCCCTTAAATGGACTGGATTGCTGTCAACAAAATTTTCAAATTCAACTCCTTGCTCAGATCATGAGAAATAAAAAACGCAAAAGTATATCAGAATTTTTATCCTCCGCAATCTTATCCATTATTTGTCCTAATAACTGACTGATATATTATTTTACTAACTTGAAAATTTTTTTGCCTCCTTTCCTCTTTTCATTTTCATAACAATATACTTTCTTTTAAAGTACACAGCAGAAAGTATCAAATGATTTCCAAGACATACTACTTCTTTACTTTATTTGAGCTGCTTATTTTCTATGCTTGGCTATTTTACTAGTTGTGTATTAATTTTTTTGCTTTTTTCTCTTAATTAATAATTATGCTTTAGAAAATTATTAATTGTTCAGTCATAATATTTATCATTACTGATAATCATTACTATTGCAATCATTATTAAGCTAAGTTAAATTTTAGAGACAACTGAAATGTCATCATCAAAAGTGGCATTGAAAACTATAACAAGTCGTAGTGATGCACCAGGATCAGTAGGTCACGGCTATGCATGGGTTCCACCAGGCCTTACTCGGCATAAGGTCATTCTAACTTTAAGACCTAAGTTAAAATGATTTATTTATTTATTTATTTATTCTCTTTAAGTACTACTGTTATTCTTAGCAAGATTGTCTCTTCTTTAAACTTAAAATGCCTTTTTTTCACTTTGAGATAATTTGACAGGTAGAAGAATACATGTCACAGTTACCCAATCACGTCGTTCCTCGGCTCAACAGCAACGGAGAAAAGTTCCGTGAAAAACAACTTATGTTGCAGGTTTTTATTAGCTTATATTCTATAAAGTCGGCGTTGAGAATTATTAATTGTCATTTTTATGCATTATTTTTTTTTTATTTTCAGATTGCATTGGAATTATTTGTGTTATGTTTGAAGCAATAACATTTACTTTGCTTTGTACATTAAAAATAATTGAATATTCATAATAATTTTTAGAAATATAGCATTTTTGGTGGTAAAACCTTTTTAAAAATTAAGCATTAGCATTTGTATGTGTAAAATGTTGACATTAATTAAATGATCAAAAATTGATCGTTCGTTTAATCATTGTACTATTATTATTTTTAATCAAGTTTAATTATTAATATTCCTCTTAATTCTTACCCAACTTAAAAACTTCAGCAATTAGTATCAAACTAAGAATAATAGAATATTTATGAAATGTTTGCAAAGTTTACAAAGCAATGTCAGTATTATTTGTCTAATTTTTATGAAGTAGCATTTTAGTATTTTTTATATAATTAATAGAAATACTTGGTAATAAAATTATTTTAGCTTCCACGGCAAGATTTATCATTGGCATACTGTAAACATCTTGCAAATAATATTGAACGTAAACTCTATGAAGAATTCATAAATGCGCGGAATGAAGTAGCCTTGGATATAGGCTTTATCTCTCCTAGCATTCCTAAACAAATGGTTTGTTGGTTGTGCTATGTTTTAATGCAAATATTTTCAGTCATTTTACTTGGTTAATGAATATAGCATTTATTGTAGTGCACTGTCTTTATTCGCTAAGTAAAATAACTGAGCGATATGCATTGATATAAACAACAA